AGCATCTATGGAGATGATCATGTGGTTTTTTGTCCTTCTTTTTGTTGATGTGGTGGATGGTGTTGATGGATTTTCAAATGTTGTACCATCCTTGCATCCCTGAGATTAATCCCACTTGATCATTGTGTATGATCCTCTTGATGTATTTTTGAATTTGGTTTGCTAATATTTTGTTCAGTATTTTTGCATCTATGTTCATCAGGTATATTGGTCTGTAATTTTCTTTTTTGGTGCGGTCTTTGCCTGGTTTTGGTATTAGGGTGATGCTGGCTTCATAGAATGAGTTTGGGAGTATTCCTTCCTCTTCTATTTTTTGAAAAACTTTAAGGAGAATGGGCATTATGTCTTCTCTATATGTCTGATAAAATTTAGCAGTGAATCCATCTGGTCCGGGAATTTTGCTCTTGGGTAGTTTTTTGATTACCAATTCAATTTCTTTGCTGGTATTTGGTCTGTTTAGATTTTCTGTCTCCTCCTTGGTCAGTCTTGGAAGGTTGTATTTTTCTAGGAAATTGTCCATTTCTTCTAGGTTTGCCAGCTTGTTAGCATATAGATTCTCATAGTATTCTCTAATAATTCTTTGTATTTCTGTGGAGTCCATCGTGATTTCTTCTTTCTCATTTCTGATTCTGTTTATGTGTGTAGATTCTCTTTTTTCTCTTAATAAGTCTGGCTAGGGGTTTATGTATTTTGTTCATTTCTCAAAAAACCAGCTCTTGGTTTCATTGATTTATTCTTCTCAATTTTATTTATTTTTTCTCTCATCTTTATTATGTCCCTCCTTCTGCTGACGTTGGGGCTCATTTGTTCTTCTTTAATAATTGTGACTTTAGGCTATTTGGGATTGTTCTTCCTTCTTTAAGTAGGCCTGGATTGCTATATACTTTCCTCTTAGAGCTGCCTCGCTGCATCCAACAAAAGTTGGGGCTTTTTGCTGTTGTTGTCATTTGTCTCCATATATTACTTGATCTCTGTTTTTATTGGGTCATTGATCCATTGATTATTTAGGAGCATGTTGTTAAGCCTCCATTATGTTTGTGAGCCTTTTTGTTTTCTTTGTACAATTTATTTCTAGTTTTATACCTTTGTGATCTGAGAAGCTGGTTCATACAATTTTAATCTTTTTGAATTACTGAGGTTCTTTTTGTGGCCTAGTATGTGGTTCTATTCTGCAAAATATTCCATGTGCACTTGAGAAGAATGTGTATCCTGCTGCTTTTGGGTGTAGAGTTCTGTAGAAGTCTGTTAGGTCCGTGACTCTATGTCCTTACTTATTTTCTGT